TTTGCTAGAAACAGGCACCACACACACACACACACACACACACACACACACTATTATGTAGATCCATGTCCCTCAAATCTAAGATTTCCATCCTCATCTGTTCTCTTGGAGGAATTCTTGATAATAGGATCTCAGAACAAGAGCATTCTGGGTGATGCCAATTTGTTATAAAATTGGTCACATTGGACTAAGGCCAGGAGGAGGTAGAAGAATTTTTTAAAATAATTAAGCATATAGAAGAGATTTTTTAGATCATTGCATGTGGATTGTACAGGACAGAGTAGAAATAATTGTGATACGGAGTGGAAGAAGTAAGAGCTTAGAATAAAAGATACAATGCCCAACATGGTTTTAGAATGCCAAAGATGATAGAGGAAACCAAAATTTATTCTTTACTTAGTGTTAATGGATGACAGGATATGAGGTAAGGTGGGATTGTTTCAAGACTTCAAATAAAATAGCAATTCAAAGTTACTTGAATGAAAATAATCTTGAAGTTTCATGGGCTGCCTGGGTGGCTCAGTCGATTAAACATCTGCCTTCAGCTCAGATCATGGTCCTGGGTTCCTGGGATGGAGCCATGTACAGGACTCCCTGCTCATTGGAGAGTCTGCTTCTCCCTCTCTCTCTCTCTATCTCTCTCTGCCCCTCACCCTGCTCATGCTCCCTCTCTCATTCTCTCTCTCAAATAAATACATAAAATCTTTTCTTTAAAAAAGAAAGAAAATAAACTTGAGGTTTCAGAGGCAGAGTACTAGCAAACTAGTATGTACAAAAATGCAAGAGCATGAATTGGATGATGGGATTTGCCCTTAAACTGAGCTCATAGAGAAACTTCTGGTAGTCAGAAACAAGACAGGCCTAATGGGGGTAGTTGCATAATCTGTAGGAAGTAATTCAAGTATAGGAAATTTTTAAAGACATCTTAGATGCAAATTTCCAAATATATGTTTCTAATCTTGATTTCTCTGGAAGTCTAGATTCATGCTCAGTTGCTAACTTGACATTTCTATTTAGATATCTAATAGGCGTTCCAGAATTGACATGACCTAAACCAAATTCTTATTTATTTTCATATCTTATTTATTTTCATAAACCAATTCTTATTTATTTTCATATCCCATATCAATCCCATATCCCTGTTCTTTCCCATATCAATAAATGGTGCCATCACTGACACTGTTTACACACACACACACACACACACACACACACACACAAATTACAATTACCCTTGATGCCTTTCTTCTTTTTATTTTGCACCCCACATGTAAAAACAAAGGTTGCTAATACTACTTATAAAACATATTTTAAACCCATCCTCTGTTCTCAAACTCCTTTATCACCACTCTAGCCCAGAGCATTCATGAATAGTCTTGATTACTGAAATCACCTCAAACTAATCTTCCTACTCCTATTGTACACTCTTTTCCATATATTCTCTATAGAGTAGTAAGAGGGTTTTTAAATATATACAAATATATCATTCCCTTGCACAAAATTATATTCCATTGCATTTAGGAAAAGTCCAACTTCTGTCACCATATACACAATAACTTGAACAATCCTATATATTTGTCCTTAACTTCTAATGTCCTCCCTGTAACCTCCAATGATCTAAATACATTCACCTTCTAGTTCTGCTTCTCTACCTCATATAATTCATTTCAGTCTTATGGCTTTTGCACTGGCTGTTCACACTGTCTGGAATGCTATTTCCCTGGAGTTTCACATAGGTTTCTGCTTCTCTCCGATCTCAAAATAAAAGACATTTTTTCAGAGAGGTCTTTGCTGGCCAAATAGTCTAAAATAGAATCCCAGTTGCTCAATAGCACCTTACTTTGTATTAGTGCTCTCACAATTTTCTTTGTGTGAATTTGGTTGGATAGTAATATCATTTATATGTCTGCATATCTCTCACATCCAACTAGAATGATCTATGGGAACAAAGAACTATCTAATTACTAGCTACAGCATTGAAACACTACTTCAGGTTCTACTCTATCAAAAGGGAAAGTTGTACTATATATGCCGTAGGGTTGTTCGGATGATAAAATGAGTAATACTTACATGTTGCTGGGAGCATACACAACATACAAGATAGTCAATAAAGAATTGCTGAAAGCATAACCAGGAGTAAGTTACACCGTAGAATAAAAAGTATGAAATATACTGGTGCCCATGAAGAGGCTTGAAAGCTATAGTGGAGGGGAAAGGCAGCATGAGCCCCTAGGTTAACAACAACAACAACAAAAACAACAACAACAAAAACAAACACATGACAGCTTTAAAATATGACAAGAATTTTTACTACTTGTTTTGGCAAGGACAACTGGAAATTCTGTTGAATAAACAGTAAAAACTGGACCATCAGAGGGAAGATCAGGGATAACTGGAACATCAGCTGAAGGATTGGGGATAACTGTGCTATCATCTGTAGTGACAGGGAAAACAGGACCATCATCAGCAGGTTCAACAACAACTAGATCACCAGCTAAAGAGTCAGAGATGACTGGACCTATTGTGTAGGCTCAGGAACATGTGTACCACCAATAGGTTTGGCAGGAAAAACTGGACCATAACTTGGATTATCAAAACTGGACCATTAGTTTATGGATTAGGGGCAACAGGATTATTTGCTGGAGTACCAGAAACAACTGAAAGTTCTGTTGAAAAGTCAGGGACTATGGGACCATCCATAGGAAGATTGCAGACAACTGGACTGAAAAAGCACAGAGACACTAGACAAGCAGCTGGGGAATCAGGGACTACAGGACTATTGACTGAATGATCATGAACAACAGGACTGTCTGTTCTGGGTTCAGGGAAAACTTGACCATCATTTGAAGGATTACAAACAACTAGAACATATGTCATAGGTACAGGGACAAACAGACCATCATCTGGAGTGCCAGGGACAACTAGACCATCACCTGAGACACAGAGATGACAGGACCAAGAGCTAAAGTATTAGGAACAACTAGATCATCAGCTAGTATGTCAAGGACAACTGGATCATCAACTTGATGGTCAGGGACAACTGGAACATCTGTTGTAAAATCAGGAACATCTGTAGCACCAGCAGGATTCAAATGGATATCTAGATCATCACTTGGTTAGGAACAACTGGACCATCTGCTGAAAATAAGGAAAAACTGCACCATTTGTTATAGGATAAGGAATGTCTACACCATCGACAGGGTTGGCAGGGTCAAGTGGACCATCAACTAGAGGACCGGAGACAACTGGAAGAGCAGTTAGAGGGTCAGGGACCATTGCACTATCAGCTGGAGCATCAGGAACAACTGGAACATTAGCTGGAATATCAAAGAAAAAAAAAACAACAGAACCTCTGTTGTAACATTAGGGACTACTGAAACAGCTACAGGATGATTACAGACAACTCGAAATCACTCGAGATCACATGAAGCAGGAACAACTGGATGAGCAGCTGGAGTTTCAGGAACCACAGGACCATCCATTGGAGGATCAGGAAGAATGGGATCATCAGTTTTAGTTTCAAGGACACCTCACCCACCATGTGAAGAATCAGGGACAACTAGACCATCTGTTTTAGATTCAGGGACAACTGGACCATCATCTGGAGTGACAGGGACAATGGAATCATCATCTGGAGATTCTGATACCATCAGAATCTGGAGATTCTGATACCATCAGCTAAAGAATTAGGAACAACTAGATCATCATCTGGTATATCAAGGACAAGTGGACCATCAACTGGTGGATCATGGACAACTGGACCAGCTGTTGCAGAATGAGAAACATTTGTACCATCAGCAGACTTGACAGAGATATCTGGACCATCACTTGGTTAGCAAGAGCTGGATGCTTTGCTGGAAAATCAGAAGGCTGTCTTTCCTAAAGGGTCAGGGACAAACGGATCATTTGCTGGAAAATCAGAAACAATTGAAAACTCTGTTGTAAGTTCAGGGACCACCAGACCATCCATAGAAGGATCACAGACAAGTAGATGATCTTCCAATGAAGCAGGGACAACAGGACAGGCAGCTGGAGGATCAGGGATCACAAGACCATTCCATGAAGGATCAGGAACAACAGGACAATCTATTTTAGGTTTAGCTGGAGTGACAGGGACAATTGGCTCATCAGCTAGAGAATCAGAAACAATTAGATTATCTAGAATCTAGAAACAACCAGAATCATCTAGAATCTGATTAGTAAATGAGAAAATGTCTGTATTATAGTCATTCACGTGATCTATTTCCAGTGAGTTAACTCTTTGATTCTCCAGTGGAAGAAACCCAGACAAAAAATTCACCTAAACTTATGATGAAGAACGAATGAAGTTAGCCTCCAGCTTCCACAGAGACAGAGAGATAGGGTTACTGTTATTCTCAATGACTATATTTCGTGGAGACAGACCTTGGAAGCAGGCCTTTGAAGAAGACATTCTTGGGTTGTGAAACTATCCAGAGACTGAGAGAAGAATTGTATCTCAAAAGGGGAGATAAAGAATTTACAACTGCAATTTGTTTTTTAAGTAAATGGGCTAAGAAAAGAGAGTCCAGGGTCCTATGATCAGGAAGAAACCTGTCTAAAATTTAGTCAAGCTGACTTTTGGACATCTTGATCAATACAAATGTTTTCTAATTTTTTTAATTGTATTGTAACTCTCCTAAAAACTAATACAAGAGGGAAAAAAACGAATACAGGAGAACCAGGAAACCAAGTTATAAGAAGTAAAAGAATTTGTTGTGAAAAATGTTTGTATCATTTAAAGAAAGTGACCTATAAGTGAGAAATTTACTGGGGTCAGGAAAAATATTCAATTCATTTCTGTCAGCAGGGGGATTGCTAAAATAGACCTCTTATGTTTCAGTCACAGGAGCATGCACTAACACTAGTAGATGCATTAGTACATTGCAGGTCTCTGAGACTCTTGGTCCGTGTGGAGATGTCTTAGGACCTTTTCTTCTGAAAGCAGAAAAAGTTCATTGCTTTTCTTCTCTTCATTTTAGGTACCTCCAGGGAAGCATTTGAAACAACCACTGCTTCTGGAATTTCTACCACAGGCAAGTCAAATCATAATAAATAACTTTGTTTGGTGGCATTTCAGAAGACAGAGAAGTTTATCAGAAGTCAAACTCTAGCTTCTCCAATCACCACTTTTGTTATTTCCTTAGCAGTCACTGCTTCCACAGAAGTTAAGGAAACCTCTGAAACTAAAATGCAAACAAGTGAGTGATGGCAATATAACTTCCTGATTAGTGTACCTATGTCTGTTAGGTCATTTCTCTCTTCTGTTGTTGGCTTCTGCTAATCTGCTAAACATTATAATTGGGGATTAGTTTAGCATCATTCAGTAGAGAGAGACATTTATTCCCCAAACTCCCACATCTTTAACTAATTTCCTTTCTCTTTTTTTGTACCTATTGGTTGTTGAGACCCCTTTACCTAAACATGTAACAATTTTAAGTTCCTCTTAAACATTCTGTTACTTCTAGGCTGGCCTTTTGCTGGATAGGTAGAATAAAAATACTAACTTGATTTTTTTGAAGTTTGGAAGTAGAATTTGAAATTTTGAGTGAATTGTTGAGTTGACCAAAATATGTGTTATGTGAAGACTTAAAAAGAAACATATAACCAGCTTAAACCGTTTGGTTCAGGTGGAGATGGAGTAATATTGAAATATTTCAGGAAAATAGATAGAGGATAAAAAGATAAAGGACTAAAACTAGATAAGTAATAATACTTATATTTTCCTATATCTGAATTGTCCTCTTCCTTTTTGAATATATATTTTACTGTCCTATTTATTGGCAGTGTCTGCCAAATAAAAAAATTGAAGAGAAGTTTACCTTAATGTTTTCTCCTTTCTCCTTTAGATTCCCATATTCCCCTCCCATTAAAATTTGAGCTTCAAGGGGAATATTCTCTAATGGTAGAATTTGAAATGCCATGAGAGCAGAAAGGGAAGGTAGACAAGAATAAGTCTGTTTGTAAGACTAGTGATATAGCCAATTATTTTCAGTTATTACAAATTTTATCCCCAAACAAATTCTGTAACTTTAGAGGCTAACATGTGGTATCTGTTTTTACACAGGATGTCCACCATCACATCTACCACCTCCAGGTAATAATACTTCCACTTGAAATTCAATCATTCACTGTTCTCCTTGCAGACCAAATATAGGGTAGCTCTATTTTTAATTTCTTAAGGAATCTCCATACTGTTTTCCAAAGTGACTGCACCAACTTGCATTCCCACCAACCATGTAAGAGGGTTCCCCTTTCTCCACATCCTCTCCAACACTTGTTGTTTACTGTCTTGTTAATTTTGGCCATTCTGGTGTAAGGTGGTATCTCAATGTGGTTTTGATTTGAATTTCCCTGATGGCTAATGATGATGAACATTTTTTCATGTGTCTGTTAGCCATTTGTATGTCATCTTTGGAGAAGTTTCTGTTCATGTCTTCTGCCCATTTTTTGATGTGGTTATCTGTTTTTTGAGTGTTGAGTTTGAGGAGTTCTTTATAGATCTTGGATATCAGCCCTTTGTCTGTAGTATCCTTTATGAAAATCTCCTCCCATTCCTTGGGTTGCCTCTTTGTTCTGTTGATTGTTTCCTTTGCTGTGCAGATGCTTTTGATCTTGATGAAGTCCCAAAAGTTCATTTCCACTTTTGTTTCCTTTGCCTTTGGAGACATGTCTTGAAAGAAGTTGATGTGACCAAATTTGAAGAGGTTACTGCCCATGTTCTCCTCCAGGATTTTGATAGATTCCTGTCTCACATTGAGGTCTTTCATCCATTTCGAGTTTATCTTTATGTATGGTGTAAGAGAATGGTCAAGTTTCATTCTTCTATGCTTAGCTGTCCAATTTTCCCAGCACCATTTATTGAAGAGACTGTCTTTTTTTTTACTGGATATTTTTTCCTGCTTTGTTGAAGATTATTTGACCATAGAGTTGCAGGTCCATATCTGGACTCTACTCTGTTCCACTGGTCTGTGTGTCTGTTTTTGTGCCAGTACCATGCTGTCTTGGTGATCACAGCTTTGAAAAGTGTGAAATATGTATTATATAGAGAGCACATTTTAAGTGTCACATATGTGTTACATGTATTGTGTACTTTGGAGGAGTCCTTAGGTATTTCAGTATAAAACTGGAATTTGAGAACAATGTGTAGACTAGTCCAGGGTATGTAAATGAGAGAAGTGAGACTAAGTTGAGAAAGGAGTTTGGTGTCACACTGCGGCAGACCTCAGAAGTTAGAATGCTGAAAGAAAGTATTTGTTTTATAAGTCTCTAAGGGGCCATCAGAAGTTTCTAGCCAAGGGATGCCTGGGGGACTCAGCTGGTTAAGTGTCTTGTTTTAATCTCAGGCCAGGATCTCATGGGTTGTGAAAATCAAGTCCCAAGTTGGGCCCCATGCTTAGCAGGGAAACTGCTTGAAGATTCTCTCCCTCTTCCACTCACCTGTGCTCTCTCTTTCTCTCTCAAATAAAAAAAATAAGTACTTTTTTTAAAAAGTTTTTAACCAAGGTAGTGCTGAGATGAAAATTAGGCCTTAGAAAAATTATTCTAACTATGGTATTGATTGGATCAGGAAGAAGTGTGAGTCAGAGTTTTCTGGAAAAACCCAAGTATGCTAGCTTAAAAATAACAAAGTCCTGTGGTAGCATTGTAGTATAACCAGGAAAGGAAGGTGTTGAAGTGAAGAGTTGGGGGAAAATGGAGGGGGAGACAAACCATGAGAGACTGTGGACTCTGAGAAACAAACTGAGGGTTTTGGGGGGGTGGGGTGAGGGGTTGGATGAGTCTGGTGGTGGGTATTAAGGAGGGCACGTATGCATGGAGCACTGAATGTAGTGCATAAACAATGAATTCTGAAACACTGGAAAGAAATAAAATAAAATGCTAAAAAAAGAGAAAATATAGGATTTTGTGGTCGATTGGATACCAAGTGATTGAATGGAAGGAATCAAAATGAATCCTAAACTTTAAACTCAAATAATTGAAAGGATAATTTGGTTCTCAACAGGAGGAAGCCAGTTCAGATGAGAGACTGGTTTCAGGGGCAAGGTGATATAATCTGTTTTGTGCATATTGAGTGTGAGGGTCTCATAGATCTGCTGTGATACTATTAGGCTGAGGGAATCCTGGCTCCATATTTTACAAGAGGTGTCTGGCCTGGAGCTATGAATTCGAGAGTTATCCACTTAACATTATAGTGGACACTGGAGATGGTAGAAAGTGCCAGAGAAAGGGTAGAGGCAATGAGAGGAAAGAGAAAAAGCTGCTAGTAAAGAAAGGAGTTTCAGAGTGTTGAATCTGAAGGAAGGAGAACATTTCCAAGAACCTGAGAGTTAAATGTGTTAGCAATTGTAGGGAAGTTGAAAAACTGATAAAGGGCCTTATAATAAGGGCCTTACAATTACAAAGTCTTAGTGACTTGTAGGATTATGGTGGTAGAAGTGAGACTCAAAAAAAGTAAGCAAAACAGTAGTCATAAGATTTATTGACCACTGCCAGCAGAAATTAATATTTATCCTATGCTGGAATTGTAAAATAGGAAATAGACCTATACTCATTAGAGACAATTTACTCAAGTAAATGGATGTGATTTATCCCCTTTACGGTACCATACAATTCTCCATAATTCTGTTTCTGAAACCCTAGTTCTAGTTACAGTATTGGCATCCTGGTGGTTATCTACATATAACAGATGGTTCTGTTTTGCCAAATTTAATTAGCATTTACCATCTCATGTTAACAGTTTGTCATGGTCCACTGGGAGAAAAGAAATCTGTAAGTACAGTTTTTCTCTACTTTAATCCAAATTTGCTGTCATTCCTATATTTGAACAGAAGTCTAAACTTGGTTTGTTTCTGTAGCCTGGAGAGGAATGGACTGCCAATTGTTACACGTGCACCTGTACTGATGCAAATACTGTGGACTGTAGCCTCAAGGAGTGCCCTTCTGCACCCACATGCAAAACTGGAGAGAGACTTGTAAAGTTCCAAGATAACGACACCTGCTGTGAAATTGGATACTGTGGTGTGTATCCACAATACATTATTTGAATTGAAGAGTTATTTACTTATTTATGTGTTCAAGAAATATTTACTAAGCTTCTAATACATGTCAACTCTATGCTAGATAGGTGTGATCGATAAAACAGAATCATACTTGCCCTCTTAAACCTCCCTATCTCTGGAGTGGAGGAAACCCAGAATTAACAGTTATGAATATAATCAGTAGATTAAAAGGAGATGATGGTGTTGTGGGAAGAAACATTTTAACTAGTTGATAAATATGATCCCATATACAGTTTCTGGTTTATTAAAAAAACAGAATTATGTTTATTTTAAGAAAAAATGATGTATTTATTTTTCAGAACCAAGAACATGTTTGTTTAACAGTATCGATTATGAGGTAAGGCTATTTTTAATTTTAAAATATTTTATTTACATAATTATGAATGAATGGCAGGCTCTTTCAGCTTATAGTATGGAAAATCTATGGGTAATGGTAGAGCAGAATCTGTTCATTTTTTTCCCCTATATTCATTTCAAAAGGAGCATTAAGTGTAACACTCAGTTACATATAAGACTCAGTTCAAAGGGGGAAAATATACTTGATCATTAACTACCTAACTTCTGAATAAAATTTCCCAGGGGTCTGACCAGATGGAGAAGGCACCCTCTGTGACATTTAAATCAATGAACAGAGTTAAACTATAATTATAACCAGAAAGATCAGATGGCCAAACTGTCAGAGATCAAATGAAAAACCCCCAGAGACTGGAACCCTATTATGTGAATATACTAACATGTATATTCAGAGCTGGATTTTGATGTCTGATTTGGCATTCTGGAAAGTAATTTAACTTTTTAGAAAAAGTACCAAGAAGTCATAAAACCCAGATAGTTCTCAAATTGATAATACATTTGAACTGGTGATACTGAATATTTAAAAAGTTTAAAATAAAAAAAACTATGAAGTATGTTAAGAAATATATAAAACAGAGCCCATTAGAGTTTTAGCTCAATAACTTATCGCACTCAAATTCCTCTCTGGGTTGCTTAATTTTTATTTTCCAAAGATGATAGTGACTTGAGAAACTATGCCAGTTTTTAAACATAAAATATGATGATGTTTAAAGAACAAAAGGAAAGTTTTACCTCTAAACATTTATATGCAAAATAGTTGAAATAACAAAATTCCAGTTTACCAGAAAGTTGATTTTGCCATTTGAAATACAGTTTCCCAAACTGGAGTTTGAATTCTGAACATAAATTATTTTTAAAGCAATCCAGAGAACTTTACAAATATAGGAACACAAGCAGAAGTAGGAACACAAGCTGAGGCAGAAGTAGGATGTCTTGTGGAATTGTCATTTGTGGTAATCTGATAAAACTATTTTGTACAATTTTTTCCTACTTAGATTTCTTGTTTTCCCTCAAACTTGTAGCATAATAATTGGTTAACTGCTCACCATAAAATAACCTTTCTTGAAAATATTTGAAAAATAGAGTAACTGGGTAGATGTGGATCTTCATTTAGGGATCGAGAATCCTGACACCTTCTGTGCTCTCAAGGAGGCACACTGGTTTATTCATGGAAGTTGGAGTCTTTCAGTACACTTTTTCTTAGATATTAATTAATGACCGAAAGTGTCTCTGGAAATTCATTAAACATGAATTGTTTTTAACAGATTTTATTTTCAACCTCAAAAAGAAATCCAGGTGAATAATCAATTGTTCTCTGTTTCCTCCCTGCTTCCCAGATTGGTGCTTCATTTGATGATCCCAGCAACCCATGCATCTCCTACTCCTGCCACAACACTGGTTTTGTTGCAGTGGTCCAAGACTGCCCAAAGCAGACTTGGTGTCCAGAAGTAAGTCATCCTCTTAAGTAATGATCAACAACATCCACTTCTTATAAACAAGCTGTCTTCTTTCTCATTTGGAAAAGTACGTATCTGGCCAACAGACATAAATTCCTTGTGGATTCCATTCCAGCTATGTTTCGCACCTTTTATTGCCAAGTATATTTTTCATATCAAAGTTATATTTGCAGGCTCTATAAAACTTAATTTAGTGCTATTCTAGAAGTAAGTTGCATTGGAAAGCATTTTACCATTTTTAAACAAACCAAAAAAAAAAATCTTTGTTTTTTTCAGGCTTATGGATTCTGGTTAATCATTTTCTGTAAAAATGTAAATTTTTCATAAAATCACATGTAAATTTACTGTTCAGAACTTTCTTTGTGACACAGTCTTCATTTTTACCTTCCCCTTAATATGCTAAGTTTTAATCTTAAGTTTTAAATTAATTAATTACTTAATAATAAATGCTCCCAATTTATGGTTCAATCTTAGCTAATTTTTCTTTCTAAAGATATAATTGATAATATAGCTTAAAGTTTGATTTCAGCTTAAATCCAACACTGGATTTATTGAGTTTTTACTTTGAGACATTGATAGGTATAAGAGTATAATAATGTGTAAGATAAAAGTCCTGCCTATGAGAAACTTACAGTGTTCAGTAGTAATATCATTATTAAGGTATTATTCAATTAAAATAAGGGAGGGAAATTTTTTTTACCCTTTGTGTGTTATTTTGAAGAAGAATTTAAATGCTTTTTTCCCTTTCTACTCACTATTATAAAATTTCAGGGTAAATATTCAGACTCATTTTTATTACTATGCTCTTTCATCTATGCTTCCTGGATCTGAGATCATGTTTATCTGTTCCCTTTTCCCCTTTGTAATGTTATTCCACTAAGTTAAGAAATGTTATATTATTTATACAAAAATACAGACTTTTTAAGTCTTTTTTCTATTTCTCTTGCCCCTATAGGAAGACCGAGTCTATGATTCAAAAAAATGTTGCTATACATGTAAGTAGCTTTAAGCTCCACATGTAGAGGAAATGTCAACTGTTGACAAAAATTTACTGTTTGTTTAAAACAAAATGGCAGATCATTAATAGAAAGTCTCCTGTGTTTTTAACATAACAGGTAATCTAACTTATATGTTTAAACTAATAATTGATACTTGTACATAATGTAGTTTCTTTTTCATGTTGGTTGAAACATTCTTCCCAGTTAAAAACAATGATGCTTATAAGAGAGAAATTTAATTTTCAGGAAAAAAATGTAGTTTGCTCTCCTAATATCACCAGGTTGTGTTGTAAATTGATATATTAGATCATAAGGATAATCAAAAAGTAGAAATGGATGTCAAAAACAATCCATTCCCTTCATCTTCCCTTCCCTCCCTCCTCTTTCCTCCTCCTTTCTCCTTGTCCCCTCCCTCCTCCTTCTTCTATGATAGTAATGATAACAATAATAAAAATATAACATTTATTAAAGACAATTATTGAATATTAGCCAGGTACCTTGGGCTAGGTTCCGAGGAAGTTAATCCCTTCAACAATGCTGTGAAGTATTTTTTGTTGTTATTCTCTACTTAAGGTTAAGAAAACTGAGACTTAGCAATTGTTAATGTTAAACCTCATTTGTGATTCTATTGTCCATTTTGTTTTAGGTAAGACTAATTGTAGATCTTCACCTGTGAATGTGACTATTAAGTACAATGGTTGCCAGAAAAGAGTCGAGATGGCAAGGTGTGTAGGGGAATGCAAGCAGACTGTCTGGTAAGTTTTTATCTGAATGTGTGCTATGCATTAATTTTGTAACATTATGGAGGAAATTAAGCTTTTAAAACATTATATGGAACATTTTTTACATGACAGCTAATGATCAAGACCTGATAAAACAAATATCTGAAACATTAAGATCTGAGAAATAAACATTTTCAATAGCCATGAATTATTTTAAAGCAGTTTTCTAAAGAAATCAAACATAATATGTTCATGACAAATGTATTTATTTTTACACAGTGATTACTCAAAGTACTTGAGCAAGTACTCTTGTTTGAAAATGTGTTTCTAAACCATCACTTGCATGTTAGACATTATATATATATTTTTTTTTTCCTTCATGGATACTTTCATGTACAGGTTAATATATAGAGAATAATAATTTGGCATGAAGTATATTTAAAAATCTGTTTATATATCTGCGCCATAATGCTCTAATTATGACCTTATACATTTCCATTTTGGATTTATTTCTTTTGGTCTTACATGCTAATATCACTGATTCACATCAGAAGTTCATGATGAGGGGGAAATGCAAGGTATAGGAAAAGAATAAATTGGTTGGAAGGATTATTAAATCACTTTGACAATTATAATTTGAGCATTGATGTCAATTTGCCTCAGAAGATATCCCCAAAAATATTTATTGCTGAATTTTCTTTTTCTTTAGGTACAATTATACACTCTTTAAGTTGACAAATTCATGCCTTTGCTGCCGAGAAGATAACTATGAGTTCCGAGAAGTTGTTCTTAGCTGTCCTGATGGCAGTACAATACCTTACAGATACAGGCACGTCACAACCTGTTCTTGCTCAGACATATGCCAACAATCTGTAACCCCAGCGGTCAGTTAACACTATTATAACATTTCTGGGTAGAACAGGCTAGGTATTTATTTTATAAATGAACAAAAATGATCAACTAAATAGTATAACTAAACATTTGTATCTCACTCAAAAAGTGAATTCTCATTATGAGGCATTTTGTTCTCTTGTTGACTGGATCTGAAAAATAAATACAACTTTGCAAGCAATTATTGAGCATATGTTTTTATTGATAGCCATAAGAATACCATACCTCAAGGGGAAACTGAGTCACATCATGGCTTTCCAATATATTCTTCTACTCTTCATCTTGTGAGGACATTATCCTGTTTCATCCTTTCCCTTCACAGCCAAGCTTATTGAAACTAAGTTTTTGTTCTCTTTCTTCCCTTTTCTATGCCAGTTACATGATCCCTTTCATTCTATGAAACTTCTCTTCTTAAAACACCAGTGGCCTTATAATTCTTGAAGTAGGGTCTGATGCCATTTTCACTCTTTCTTTCTTGAAACATTTTTTCTTGCTGTTTCTGTGACATCATTTTTACTAGTGCTCCTACATTTGTGGACACCTTCACCATTCTTGACATCTCAGTTCTCCAAAGTTACATCCCATTCATCTCATATTACTCAGGCTTCTTGGATGATTTTAGACACAAGTAGATGTATTATACACTGAGAATTTCCAATCTGTGTCTCCAACCCCAAGCTCTTCTATGAGTTACAGACACATTGATATAACTCTGAATTTACACCTCTAACCAGATGTTCTATGGATAACACAAACTCGGTAAGACTAAAAGTGAATTAAAGGTTACTCCCCTGAGCCCACTTCTCTCCTTATATTTTATATACATTGAGGGAGTTAGCAAAAATGAGAAGTTGAGGTTCAAAAACACCATGACTGTCATCTTCAAATATTCTACCACTTTGCTGCCACACACATATCTTTCTTCCTATACATATATTTCTGAACGTGCCTTGTATAAAATTATTTATATAAATAAAACTGTACAATTATTAACACTTGCCCAACCTAATTTATCATAACCCTTTTATGTACTACTCACCTTTCTATGTAACTTAGACTAGTGGTAAATTTAACATTCATTAAACACTATGCCCAGTGGTAGGGAAAGAAAATTGGCATGTGAGTATATTGGTAATACCAACAAAAGATGAATAAGCTAAACACAGGTATGTATTGCAGGTATCACTCCTATAGTTGGTCCCAAAGCTCTTGACTTTCCTCCATGTCTATCACTTCACTTGAGCTTTTTTTCCTCTCAGGATGTACCAGAGTTTGTCAGTTGGAAAAATTATGAGGGATTTGAGCCCTTGAAAATCCATTCAGATGAGGCTGTAGGAGGTTTTCAATACCTTTTTCTTCAGGGAATGATAAAACACAGAGTCAACAGCACACTTACATCTCAGCACTTACTCTGACAGGACCCCTATTTTCTCTTGATAGTCAGCATTGATCATTCCAGACAGTATGATGATAGCCTTTTCTGCTTAGGAAAGCTGCTCTAGAGTCACAAAAGACTCAAAATGGCTAGCAAAGAGTTTCAGCAAATGGAAGAGAATGTAAATGTTGACTTATGGTTCAGCTAATATCAACTCCTGCAATCAGTGCACTAAACTTGCTGGAAAGTTGTTTGGGGGGGTAGTATCCCTCGGGGGAGGGGGTAGTATCCCTCAGCTGGTGTCAGAGTGGAATTCTCAATAGGCCAATCCTTTAAGGCTTACTATCCATGAATAATAAGGAATTACAAAATAATTCATGCAATATGTACCTATTGCCTCTGTTTGTTTGCTTTTTTATTTTGAAACAAATTCCTTGGTTGGAAGAAATTCTGTGTAGCATTTCATGGTAGTGAATGAATATTCAATAAGCCTATCTCCACTTTCTGAGACATATTGAACATAAAAGGAAAATAAAAATCAATAGCAGGTTATATCAGAAAAAAAAAAAAAAGTATTGTCCTCTCCCCAGAAGAAAAGATCAAAGTTACTCACTTGTTGCCAAGCTGCGTGACTGGCACCCATGTTGATGCCATAAGGCATATCACTTTTTTTTCAGCATAGTGGTATTCATATTGGCTTCAGGAAATCAAATTAGGCTTTTGAGCCCATATATGTCCTCCATCCTGCCTTAACTGTTACCTTATTTGTGAACCTCATTTAGCAACTACTAGGTAGGATGGGAAAGATTTACTGACAACCACAGTTAAAACATACTGTTAATTACCCAATTCTCCCATGGAAGGGAGGGAACCTCTGGTAAGCACACACTTCTGGTAGGGAACCTCTGGTAAGCACACACTTATTTACTTTCAGACATGGACCTATTCTGGGTGACCACATTTTATTCTCATGCTGACTGAATCTGAAAAATGAACTTTGCAAGCAATTTGTGAGCATATATGTTTATTTGATAGCAATAAGAGTTCCACATGTCAAGGAGAAACTGAATATCATGGCTCTCCAATATACTCTTCTATTCTTCATCTCATGAGGTCATTATCTTGTTTTGTTTCTTCCCTTGGTCATATATACAAATTATTTGCTACTTCTCAGGAATCAGTGTAAATCTTGACTTCAAGTCAACATTCTACCAATCACAATAGCCAATCAGAAATTCCTTTCCCAGTTATCTTGTTGTTGCTGTTTTTTGATCATGTGTGAGAAAAACTATAATACCACACAGCTCACTTCACTGATACTGGGGCTATTGGTAATCTGGCCTCAGGGCCATTGATAATCCAGCCTAGAGTCTTATCCTTTTGTGTCAGCTGGTCATAAGAAAGTTCCCCCTTCAAGCAAAGGAATAAATTTAAAAAAGATATGGTAGTCAAACATTAAGAAACAATCTGTTGATCTGACTTTTACCTTTGAGACCTTAATGGGGGCAAGGATTGATTCTGTATATATCACTTGAAATGGGTAGTAGATTGCTGCTGGAAATGTCTAACTTTATGGCTATATAAACAAGATAATGCCCAGTCCAGAATGAGTAGCTTTGGTACATGTTACCTGTTATTACCAGAAGCCAGTAACAAGCTAGTTTTTGTTGAAAATAGAACAGTTGCTCCAAAAGTGGGTGTGGCCTTGCACCAAAAGCCTCCCGTGTTCATTGCAGCATTATTCCCAAAAGCCTAGATTTGGAAACAACCTAAATGCCTATTGACAGATGAATGGATAAAGAAAATGTGGTATATGTATAGAATAAAATACAAAATATGATTCAGCCTTTAGAAAGAAGAAATCCTGCCCTTTGTGGCAACATTGATAAAACTGGAAGGCATAATGCTAAGATAACTTAGTCAGACAAAGAAATATAATGCATGGTATCACTTGTATATGGAATCTGGAAAAAAAGTGGAACTTATTGAAACAGTAGAAAATGGCTGTCAGGTATGGGTAATTAGGGAAATAGAGAGAGGTTGGCAAATGGGTTCAAACTTTTCAGTTATGAGATGAGTAAGATCTGAAGATTTAATGTATAGCTTGGAGGCAATAGTTGATAACACTGTATTGTGTTATTGAAATATATTAAATGATCAGAACTGAAACGCCTCACCAAAAAGAAAAAACAGTTAAATTGTAAATATGTAGGTGATTGATGGGTTAATTAACTTGATTGGGGGGGATCCTTTCATAATGTATACATATACAAAATCATTGTGTACACTTTATCTTATGATTTTGTCAATATACCTCAATAAAGCTGAAAATTTTTCAATGTACATATTTAATGTATACAAATCAATGAATTTGGGGGAAAAGTATACACCTATGAATCCATCATACCATGAAGGCAATAAATATATTCATTTTCTTTCTTTTTTTTTTAAGATTTTATTTATTTATTTGACAGAGAGAGATCACAAGTAGGCAGAGAGGCAGGCAGAGAGAGAGGGGGAAGCAGGATCCCCGCTGAGCAGAGAGCCCCATGCGGGGCTCGATCCCAGGACCCTGAGATCATACCTGAGCCAAAGGCAGAGGCTTAACCCACTGAGCCACCCAGGTGCTCCGATATATCTATTTTCAAAGTTTCCTCCTGCCTCCTTTATTATTATCTTATGTTTGTGTGTGTGTGTGGTAAGAACACTTAACATAAGGTTTACCCTCTTACTAAATTATTATAGTATATTATTAGTATATTATAGTTAGCTTAGTTATTATTAGTTATTTTTAGTATGTTGGCAACAGCAGTGAGAAGAGGTCAGATTCTGGATATATTTTGAAGACAGAGCCAAGATTTGTGATGGGTTGGATGTGAGGTGTGAGAGAATAAGAGGACTCAACAAGAGGAAGTTAATAGGTACTGAATAGTTTTAAAGATTTTATTTATTTATTTCTCAGAGAGAGAGAGAGAGAGAGAGAGAGAGTGCACAAGCAGGCAGAGGCAGAGAGAGAAGCAGGCTCCCTGCTGAGCAAGGAGCCTGATGCGGGACTCGATCCTAGCACCCTGGGATCATGACCTGAGCCAAAGACAGCAGCTTAACTGACTGAGTCATCCAGGTGTCCCAGTACTGAATAGTTTTATCTGCAATGAAATATATATCCTCCAGGTTCTTGCCTGTGGTTATAATTAATTATAACTGATTAATACCAAAAGCTCTGTTTTGAGAAAACTATTCATAGAAGTCTTCAGCCTGGCCCTTCCATGTGCACTAAATTATATCCCTGGGGCAAGCACATGACAAATAAAATGATAACACCTAGTATATTTCTTCTTATTAGAGATAGAGAAAATAAAACTATTAAATATGCAGGCTCTAGAGCTAGACTTCCTTGGTTCAAATATTGGCTTACCCTGTTCCAATTTTGTAATACATAAATTCTTAATCTCATTTTTAAATAACAGCTTTATTTAGGTACAACTCATATACCATAAAATTCATCCTTTTAAATTTTACAACTTGGCAATTTTTAGTGTATTCACAAAGTCACACACCTATCACCTACACAATTCCAGAACATTTTCATCACTCCGAAAAGAAAGTCTATGTCATTAGCAGCTACTCCCCATTCCCTCCAGCTCCTGGAAGCCACTAACTAATCTGCATTCTATTTCTATTGATTTGCCAGTTCTGAACATCTTATATAAATGGAGTCAAACAATATGTGGTCTTTTTTAAAAAATTAAATTCAATTTAGTTAATGTATAGTGTATTAGTTTCAGGGGTAGAATTTAGTGATTCAC